TGAGTTGGGAGCTTTCTTCAGCGAGCAAAGGCCGCTCTGGGTAGTCTCTCTCTCTCTCTCTCTCTCTCTCTCTCTCTCTCTCTCTCTCTCTCTCTTTCCTTGGTTGTGGCATCGACCCCTCCTATGTCACCTTCGAAGACTGAGCCGAATGATGACTCCGTGGATGAGACGGTTGCAAAGCTCTATGGCTCTGAGTCCCCTCGTGCTAGGGAAACTCAACTGATGCTTCATGCCTCGCTCGCTGTGTCGGATGCCTTTGTGGGTGAGCCCATTATCGTCATTGTGGCTCCGGTGTTGTAGATCATGCTTGAGTTACAAAGAATGTTTGCAGGGCTGATTTTACCACCGTCAATGGAGCATCTGAAGGTGGACTCGCTTGTGCCCTTAGTCGTGCCATGGGTGCCCGCTAAGCCTCCTTTGGAGACTATTTAGGTGGCTGCAGATGAGGAGGGTGCTGCATCTACGAGTGTTCCTATGGTTGATGATGCTGTATCACGTCGTAAGTCGACGTTGCGGTCACTCACATGTGACCGTTGGGCAGGTGGTGTCTGTGCGTGAGAAGGTCGATGAGATTCTCTTCCAGATAGAGCTTCACAACTTGCTCACATGTTTGGAGGCGGCTAGCCCTGGATCTGGCAAGACGATTGTGGAGGAGTCTCTCAGGAGCAAAAGAAAGAAGAGTGGCACCATAGGAATGGCGTTCACAGCTGCTTGATGGATAGTCATCAGTCTCTTTGTATTATCCTTATGGCATGGCTTGTCTTCGTGGATTTGGTAGTGCTCGTGCTCTTCGGACGAGGTACTCTCGTTGGGAGTTTCTTTGTGATGTATCAGTGTGAGGGTTGGTGATCATTGCATGTTGGGTATGGTTGTCAGACTGATTGTGCGCTTATGGGGTTGCATACTTTGTGAGTAGTCCACATGAGGTTGGTTTGTATCGATTTTCGCCTGGTTTTCTGTTAATTGACTAGGAAGTTCTCTTTTGCTTAATTAATCGATGAGGCAAATCGATCGTTTACCTCCATTTCAAAGAAAAAATGATAGCAAGTATGAATATAACCACGGCCAAGAGTACACTGCTAACACCAACATGAACAGGACAACAAATAGCCGAGCTCCAGGTTAGAAGCTAAAGACTACAAGCGACCATTTTGTTTCTTCCCGTGGAAGAAAGAAGGCCCTTTGGCTAGGGTTTTTCGTGCCTCCCGCTGGTGCCGTCGCCGGTCTACCTCGTCTCCTATGGTCTTAGGGCCATGGAGGTGTGGTGGATCCTAGCCGTTTTTTCATGCTCTTTGTCGTGTTAGGGATTGTGTCCTACTCGGAGAGGAGAGGCGACAGTTGCTCTTTGAAGATGGAATAAGATTCTCTCTGCCTAGTCCCTGTCCTGGTGGTGTTTCTAGCATCGTCGGAGGGTGTGTGGAGGTTTGTCTCTGGCGGATCTTGCGGGATTCGGTCAGCGTTTATCTTCGGTGGATCCACGTGGATCATGTCTTCATTCGTCTATGTTCGTGTGTCTACAAGTTGGATCACTCCGATCTACGCTTCTCTTCATCGACGACGGTTGCTGCTTTTGTGTGCTTGTCTTATGGGGCCTTAACACGACGACTTCTCGAGTGTCTGATACAACAAGGTTTGCGCAGCTCCAGTGCTAGTAGTCGTCGCTACATGGTCTACGGACCTAGTTATATTTTTTTTATTTCTGGTGTTCTTTGTACTACGTTGACAGTAGATGAATAGATTGAAAGTTATCCTCGCAAAAAAAAAACAGCAGAGACAACTGTAGACCATGAGGATTACAAATTTATTCTTCCTTTGAGATGCTCACGAATGTTCAGCAGTAAAAACGACAACAGTGATCTCGCAGATATGGGCTTACATTACAGTGGAGCGGATACCCATAGAACCAGTTGTGCTAAAACTTGGTATGTGTGTGCTAATTCATATATACACAATTTGGCAGTCGCATACCATTTTTACCTCGCAGAGCATATGGGATCGTGGTGATAAACATCAACCAAGTGACGTTGGTTGGCAGCGGAAATTGTGGTCCTGTTGAAGCACGGCTGTCGGCTCATAGGGCATGCCTTTAGGGAGGACGACATTCAACAAATGTCCCGAGCCCAAAGGAGACCAAGAAAGCAACATGCATGGCACTAACTTTAGTTGATAGAGATATAATCAAATACTTCCTCCGTCCGGAAATACTTGTCATCAAAATGAATAAAATGAGATGTATCTAGACGTATTTTAGTTTTAAATACATCTCTTTTCATCTATTTTGATGACAAGTATTTTCGGACGGAGGGAGTACACACTTTAGTACTCCTACCACTACACACTGGTTGCTCGATTTCACATCCCTTATAATACCAAAGAATTTCATAAATGTCTGGCATGCATGGTACACGGATATGCATCATTCTCTTTGCCAAAGCTCATGTTGATTTTTCTGTTGATTATTGGAGCAACTATCTTTTCCTCAAATTATTGCTTCATTTTAAGAAAAGGAAAGGGCACCGTCGTTATTTGGATCTGGTTCAATGCAAACAAACATGCAATAGATGCAGATACTAATGTATCTCAAGACGCTTTGGAGCTACCTTGTGTTTGAAGGACTTTCGGAGTTGGAGCTATGGA